TCTTGGTGGGATTGACTTCAAGTCCATACTCAGAGAGCGCTCTGCAAAAGTTCGCTTAGCGTTTGGAGATGCTTGCCCGTTGCTGTGAGTGCAATGTCGTCAGCATACGCTACGACGTGACAGCCGGTACTCTGCAGTCTCATCATAATTGAGTTCACTGTTAGGTTCGTTGCATGCCTGGTTATGGAATCGCCCCATCTCTGATGAGATAATTCTTCTTTCCAGGAGAAGCCTTATAAGCTCCACCAGAGGCCGCTCCAGCACCACTTGGAAAAGTGAGCTCACAACGGCCTCTGGAAGAATATTGTTAAAGGCGCCCTCTTTGTCAAAAAAGACACCTAAGCTAAATTCCTTATTCGAGTCCTTTTTCAATTTTGGACACACTTTCGTGAAACGCAGTGTCCACGGATTTGCCCTTAGAATAGGCATGTTGACACTCCGACACGTCCTCGGAAGAGAGGCGCTGTCTGATATGGGCATCAAGAAGTCTTTCTAGAGTTTTAAGAAGAAAGGACGTTAGGCTTGGTCCATCCTCTAGGAATGTGACAAAGGCTAAGGCAAGCCTTAAAGATCTCAGCAAGCAGTGGCCACAGAAGGTCAACCGCCTGCCCTGGATTTCGGCAGGGAATATGCCATCCGGTCCCGGAGATTCATAATCTTTAAAGGTTTTAACCGCCCATTTAAACTTTTATTGTTGCACTATGCCCTCTACTGAGTGCTGTGGAAGATAAGTCTTCTGATTAGGTGCGTCGGCATTTGGTTCCGTTGTACACCCCGGGAATAATTGGTATTTTTTACGTTTAACATTAGCTTAGTTTTGCATAACCAGACATACAGTGAGTCTATGTCATTTTGCATTTTATGAGTTGTGTCCAAATCGTCTTCAATTATAATCAGCAGTGCATCATCAGCAAACAGTCTTATCTTACAATACCTGATTGATGATAAAATATCGTTGATGTAGATGTTGAAAAGAATTGGTGCTAGTACTGAACCCTGTGAAAGTCCAATATCTACCGGCAAATCCTTAGACAATACTTCCCCTATAACTGTGTGTTGCTTTCTATTAGATAAGAAGCTTTCGAACCACTTCAGTTCTACTTCTTTGATACCAATTTGTTTCAACTTACAAATCATTAGTTTTCGATCAATGGTTTCAAAAGCTCTTTTCAAGTCAATAAAAACTGCCAGTATTACTATTTTACTTCTCATGTCTTCTTTCCGTTGAGAAATAATCCATTTAAATGTCGTTTCACGCGAATGTTTAGCTCGAAACCCTGACTGCTCTTTAATTAATATATCAATATATCTTCAATATACTCCACCAGCTGTTTTTTACCGCTGTTTCTAATAACTCGGTCGAACTTCTCTAGCGCAGTTGCCAGATATATGGAAATTAGTAACGATAAATTCGAGCTTAATGTAGATTGGGTTGAGTTGACAGACTTAATTTTTGAATCGTATATTGACCCAAAACAAAAGTTGTCGGAACTTGTAAGGTACGATATGAATATTCATTTGGCTACGGATGTCCCTTTCCACTGCGCTCCAAGGCGATTATCCTACGCTGAGCGCAATTCTATACGAGAAATAATTAAGGAATTAGAATCCGAGGGAATAATAAGGCCAAGCAATTCACCATACGATTCCGCCCTAGTTCTCGTACAAAAAAAGAATGGACAGATACGGATGTGTGTTGACTACAGAGGACTTAACAAAATAACAGTACGGGACAGCTGTCCACTACCACTTATAGAGGACTGTATAGAGTACTTTTAAAGCAAGAAAATATTTACTGCCTTAGATTTAAAGAGTGGTTTCCATCAGGTAAACATCTCTCCCGAATCTATTGTATTCACAGCGTTTGTGACGCCCGATGGACAAAACGAATACTTAAAAATACCTTTTGGTCTAAAAAAAATTCCCCTGCCGTCTTCCAGCGATTCTTAAAAAAACATTTTTTGAGATTTAATAGACGCTAGAAAAATTATGGTTTATATGGATGATATCATCATAGCTACGAAGGACTTTAAGGAACATAAAGACTATCCTACGAATGGTTTTCGAAAGAATTAAAAGTCAGGGATTAAAGTTGAATATTTCAAAATGTAAGTTCGGGTATATGGAGATAGAATACCTTGGGTATTCAGTATCATCCAGGGGAATAAAGCTTAGCGAATCGCACGTAAAGGGTATTCTAAAATATCCAGTTCCCACCGATCAGAAGGAGCTGCACTCTTGCATTGGGTTTTTCTCGTATTTTAGACGATTTGCGCTGTCCTTTTCAAAGATCGCCAAGCCTCTACTTGAATTGTAAAAGAGAGGCGCTGAGTTTAACTTCACTGAAACCTGTTATAGATGAGGTGACCATCCGTCCTGTGTTATACGGGACAGTCCTCTTTTTTGACCCATTGTCCTGGCAATTTATTTTATACGGGACGCCAAATGTTCGGTATTTTTTTTAATGTCCTGTATTTGTCCCGTATTCGGTGTTTCGACGCCTTAGCAGCTCATTAAAATGGCATGCCTATGAACGAGTTTTATGTGATGTTGGTATTTGATCGTGATTTTCTCCATAAACAATTATAATTTTCTAATCTGAATGCCTGTTTCGATTCGAGGAATACATAATAATAATAATAATAATAATAATAATAATAATAATAATAATAATAGATTGGAGCTTACACATATGTTAGTGTTTGGCCGAGCTTCTCCTCCGATTTGTGGCGTGCGCCTTGATGTTGTCACACAAAGTGGAGGAACCTACAGTTTTACGCCGACTCCGAACGGCGATTGTATTTTTATGAGAAGCTGTTTTTCATGGCACAAATTCACTCGGAGGTTTGCCATTGCCTGCCGAGGGGCGACCGCTGTTGAGAAAAAACCTTTTTTCTAAATTTTTTGCGATGTTGCTTTGACCAGGGCTTGAACCCAGGCGCTGCGGAGTGGAAGCGCGCACTGCTTACCACTACACCACACCGGCCGAGGAATACATACAGTGACCAAAAAATAATTAGGACTCAACATTTTAGCAAAGTTTGGCTATTTTTTCTTAGTTTATTTAATGCTTATTCTTTTTTTCGAAAGTAAAGCTCTTTTCTCAACAAAACCTATATAAAAGTGTTTAGGTGCGACTGCTAACACCAGGCGCCTAAATTCCTGCTATGTGCTACTGCGTGTCCAAAAATTTCCTTCATTAAATTAATGACATTTTCGCACATGCAATTCTCAACTTTCCTAAGTTATAATTTAATGGCAGTTCAAAGTATGCTCGGCCTAGTCTGATGCATCCTCAGGACAACTATCCGGAGCATTTTGCGGACTCTGCATGACTTATTGGCTAACCAGAACGTAGTACCACAGCCACAAGCTATTTCGCTAGCTACCTCAGCTACATAAGCAATAGAACACCATAACTACAGGTACATAGTGTGGGAAGTTTCGAGCATTTAGAATATTTTTACTTTTGACAGCTCTTGCTACATACCACAGCCTCACCATTCTGGTTAGCCAGTTACAATCTTGCAGAGGTGGTAAAAGAACTTTTCCATTGGCCACAGTGCCTACCCAGTATTTTTGCACCAAAAAATTTTTTTTTATATAAGTACATACACGCAAGCATGCTGGTCTCCCCTCTCACTGAGTTATTCAAATACCAAATTTCTAACTTTGTGCAAAAAACTATAAAAATTAATTCTGCAGTGTTTCACCAAAATTTCAAACTCTTTAATTAGAATCTTTAGAAAAAATTTCGTTTGCAGATTTGTGCCTCACTAAAATTGAGTATAATAACGTGCTGCTCATTTGCTTCTCTTTTAAAAAATGGTCAAACATACTTACCTGCTTTGTATGAAAAAGATGCGCAACATCGTCAAGAAAAAAGAAATTAATTCAAAAATTAACGGTAATTCTTAGAGGCTACAAAATCGCACTTTATTATACTAAAATCTAAGATTTTTTTTTTTTAATTTTGCGGGGTAAAAATCTTGGGGAAAATTTCCTACAAATTTGTGATGTTACTACAAGGATGCAGGATGCAAGGCTAATACATCTAGATTGAAGAAGGCTTTAAGATCGACAAGTTTTTGTGAAACAAAGTTGCAAAATTATTTTTTGTCCCGTATTCGGATTCCATAAATATGGTCACCGTAGTTAGAGAGCATTTAAGGAGCTGAAAAATAAATTCACAGAGTCGCCTGTGCTAGCTATATACAATCCTGAAAAGGAAACTGAATTGCACTGTGATGCCAGTGCAATTGGGTTTAGAGCAGTTTTGTTGCAAAGACAAGATGATGGAAAGCTCCACCCCGTTGCTTACTTTTCGAAATCAACTTCTCTCCCTGAATCAAGATATCACAGTTTCGAACTGGAGACGCTAGCCATCATCTCTCTCTCTCTCTCTGCGTAGGTTCGAAGTGTACTTAGAGGGTATCCCATTTAAAATTGTAACAGATTGCAACTCACTTGCTTTGACTTGAGAGAAGAAGCAGGTGAACGCACGCATTGCTAGGTGGGCATTGGAATTAGAAAATTTTAATTACAATACATCGTAGTGGGGCATCTATGACCCATGGGGATGCTTTGTATCATTGTCAGGTAGCAACAGTTGATATTAATGAAATGGATTTCCAAATTCAGGTAGCACAAGAACGGGACGAAAATATAAGAAAATTGCGGCAGCAACTAGAAAGTGGAGTGGCTAAAAGTTTTGACCTAAATGAGGGTTTGGTATATCGGGTGAAAGACAACGGACGTAACGCTTTGTATATACCGAAAGAGATGGAAGATACAGCCTTATTATGTATCTCGAACGATAGGCCGCACGAACGATTCGTCTGTAGGCGATATCGTCACGGATTGCAATTTTGTAACTCTGTCGTTCGTCTTGTCTTTACGTCGATTACGTTGCAATCGTCTCGGTTACGTTGTATGATGTTGCCGGATGAAATTTTGGTGTACTTCCAAAGAGTTTTTCTTAGATTTCTAATATTTTCAGCTTATTTCAATGCTTTTTATTTTAAATGGGAAACATCGGAATTGTTTACATTTTGGTTTTGCTTATAAGTGTTTTGGTTGTGTTGCGGAAAGAAATATAGGGAAAATGAATTTTTAAAAATGTATGCTGCTATAGCGCTAATGGACGCCGAGGAATCCGAAGAAAGGGAAAGGCGGATACAGAGGAGGAGATTGCGACACCACACCAAAGTAATGGAACTACCTGAGACTGAGTAAGTTCAAGATTAGCAAATAATTTTTTTATGCTACAATGTATTCGTTTCTAGATTTGTTGCAAATTCCCGAATCAATAAACAAATATTCCAATACATATTAAACGAATTAAAAGAGCACATGGCTCCATCACATAGAAGCACCCACCTATCGCACCAGCTAAAACTCGCGACTTTTTTAAGATTTCTCGCCACCGGCAGTTACCAAAAATCTGTTGGTAACGAAAATATTTCGTCGATGGGGCAGTCAACTGCAGCCAACGTGATCAGGGAATGCCTAAATATTTTTGAGGACCATTTTTGCCAGAAATGGGTGAATTTTAGGAGAAACATCGATGAGGAAAATGCAGTTAAAGAATATTTCTTTGAGAAATACGGAATACCTGGGGTTATTGGTTGTGTTGATGGAACACACGTTCGTATTAAGTCGCCAGGAAGTGACAACCACCATTTATACCTCAACCGCATGGGTTTTTACAGTATCAATGTAATGGCGGTAGGTTAATGATTTACTATCTTTACAAGTATACATATACACAAATTGAGTTTCCTTACAGATATGCGATCACAACATGGTAATCACATTTGTTGACGCTAGGCATCCAGGGGCGAATCATGATTCATTTGTTTGGAATGTGAGTCACGCAGAACAGGAGCTAAAATCTGATTATAACAATGGAAAAACCAACACATGGCTACTCGGTAAGTTTTAAAACTTAAAAAGGCTATAAAACTATTACTGACAATGAAAATTTTTGTAGGTGATTCTGGTTACCCCTTGCAGCCATACTTGATTACGCCATTCAGAAGCGCAGCCAATGAAATTCAACGAATTTACAACACAAAGCACTCGAAAGCTCGTAATGTAATTGAGAGATGTTTCGGTGTTTTTAAAAACCGATTTCGATGTATAATTGGCTCGAGAGGGCTGCACTATTCACCAGAAAAAGTTACACAAATTGTAAATGTGTGCTGTGCTATTCATAACGTTTGTATATTTTTCAAACATCAAATTCCATTGGAGAGCCCAGATATGGAGAATCTTGTTAGTTACGAAGAAGAACTGGAAAACAGTAACATTTCGAATACAGCTGCCCTTATTAGAATGAGAATAGCAGAGAGTTTGTTATAAACGCAGTTTTATTATAAAGTATGTGTGTTTAGAAGTCAGGTACATCAGCAAAATTCATTTGTCTTAAAATTAATAAAATATTTACATAAAAATTCAACAAAATATCTTTTCAGTCTTAAATCCTAAATCTACATATAAACTAAGTAAATGCAACAAAATATCAATTCACACTTAAATCTAAAAAATATTTACACAAAAAAAAAAACAAAATATCACTTCAATACTCTCACAATAGTGGTATGAAAATTAATTCCGGAAGTACTCCAAAAATTTTTCAAAAATTTCAGATTGGCGTTCCACTGCAGCAGTTAATTTGTTTGTGGCATCCACCTGCAGCATTGATGCCTCTGCCATTTTTTTTGCAGCCTCAGCCTGCACTTTAGCGGCTTCTGCTTGGACTTTGGCAGATTCAGCCACTGTCTCTTGGAAGGTGCGCTTCCTATTAGTAGAACTTAACGTGTGCGTTGGTGTAGGACGGGTTGTCTGTGTAGTGGGAGTTACTACTCCCACTGGTGGTGGTTGGTTGTGCCTTATAGGAGATTGAAGGGTGGTTGTTTGTTGCCTTCGTTGGTCAAGTGTTGGCGATTCAGTCACAAGTAAAGGAGGCATTTCCTCCAACGACGAATGTCTTGACATGTTAGAGGTCGCCGTCGAAGGAATGCCGAAAACTCTGCCGCTCGGGGCTGCTGACCTCGAAATAAAAACCAGGCTGTCTATGGCCTGCTCCATTTCGGAAAGCGGAGAGTGACGGAATGGGCCACCACCGGTAGCAGTAAGGCTTCGTTTGTTTTCGGC